CCTACCATCGGTGGCCGGGCCTTCAGCCTCTCAGCCCCGAGGCTCTGGAACTCTATCCCCCAGTGCCTTCGCCGCCTCCTCCCTTTCCTCCTTCAAGGCCAGTCTCAAGACCTTTCTCATCGACCATGCCTTCAGCTCCCCTCTCGACTCTCTACTCCTCCTCGCTCCCTCCCTTCCCTCCCCTCACCCTGTCCATTTCCCCCCTGCTCGGGTCCCGACCCAACTGTCCAGCGCCTTGGGACGTCCTCCCGACGTGAAAGGCGCTCTATAAATGAAATCTTGTTGTTGATGTTGTTTGGTGCGGGAGAGGACACGGGCTGCAGAGTTCTGGATTATCTGCAGCCTGTGGAGGGAGGAGTTGGGAAGGCCGACAAGCAGGGCATTTGCATAGTCGAGCCTGGAGATGGTGAAGGCATGAACAAGAGTTCAGCGGCCTGAGGGGTGAGGTAGTGGCAGAGTCGGGCGATGTTAAGGAGGTGAGGGAAGGCAGAGCAGGTCATGGCTTGGATGTGGGGAAGAAAAGACAGTTGAGGGTAGAACAAGACACTTAGGTTCCTGACTGGCTTGGTGAGTTGAAGTGTGCAACCATGGAAGTTGATGCTGCCAGAGTCTGCGGTGCTGAGGTGCTGGTGCGAGCCAATCAGAACTACCACCAAAGTAGTATACTGTATCCGCTGCTCACGGTGTGGTCTCGTCTATATTGGGGAGGCTAAGTGCAGATTGGGTGACCGATTTGCAGAACACCTCCTTTCTGTACGTAAGGTCAACCCTGATCTTCCTGTCTCCTGCCATTTTAACTCACACTCACATTCACAGTCTGACCTCTCCATCCATGGTCTCCTATGCTGTTCCAATGATCAACAGCGAAAGCTTGAGGAACAGCGTCTTATCTATCTGCTAGGGACCCTACAGCCCTCTGGCCTCAATATCGATTTCAGCCACTTCAGACCATAATAGCTCACCTTCCCCCCTCCCCCTCTTTCTGTTACCAGAAGAATTATCTTCTGTTATCATTACAATCATCACAAAGAGACACTCTTTGTCTCTCTCTGGTGCATTTCCTGTTCTGCATTAACACCTCTTCTCCCCAGTTTCGTTTCAACTCACCTCCCCCCCTATTGTTTTACGCCACTATCAACTCTTTAACCCATCAACTAACACATTCTCTCCTTTGCCTTCTTTGTCTTCCTTGTCCTGCCTCCCCCTCTCAAACTTGCCCTTAAAAAACCTCTCCCTCCTAATATGCCCCAGTTCTGACGAAGGGTCATGAACCTGAAACGTTGACTCGCTTTCCTTTCTCCGTAGATGCTGCCTGACCTGCTGAGTTTTCCCAGCTCTCTTCTATTTTTGTTTCAGATTTCCAGCATCTGCAGTATTTTGGGTTTTAGACATCCACAGGAACTGCTATACAGCATCAGTTGAACCTGGCAGAGTAAGAACCCAGTATGAGTCAGCACTTAGTTTGAAAGATTACACTTCAGTGACTGTTCCAATAAGTGTTCATCAAAAATACTGGAGTCATCTCTTTACCAGCCTTGGCATCACTTGCCTGCTGGAATTGCTATCCATGTTGACAGGTTTAAATAAGGCAACCTGTGGGACTATTTAATCTGAACTCCTTCACGTCTCATCACTGGGTATCAAGGGTATCAGTGGCAGAAATTTTGGCTATCTTTCAACATGAAAGCATGTGGGAAGCTCAACTTCTGTGGTGCTTTGTTAATTGTAGGTCCTAGGATCCTGGATTGGTACTTTTGTAGACAGGACACAGTCATGGAGGAAGGAACAGTTGCAAAAGACCTATGTTTGTTTGGTCTATATCCCAACCCCTGAGGAATGGCTGCTTTCACTCTCAATGGAGACCTAGTTGGGATTTCTATCTGGTGCTTCCTGAATGGAAATCATAGAATTGTACAGCACAAAAAGAGGCCTTTCGGCCCATTGAGTCTGTGCCAGCTCTTTGAATAGAGGAATTAATGTCAATCCCACTTCCCAGCCCTTTCCCCATAACCCTGCAAACCCGTCCTCCTCGAAAACACGTCCACCGCGTTTTTAAAAGTAGTTATCGAATCGGCCTTGACCACCCTTTCAGGCCATACGTTCCACATTCAAACAACTCGCTGCGTGAAAAAGTTTCTTCTCATCTCCCCTCTGCTTCTTTTAGAGACTATTTTGAATCTGTGACCTCGAGTCACCGACACACCCACTGTGGAAACAGTTTTTCCCTTTCCAACCTATCAAATCCCCTCATGATTTTGAAGACCTCTATTAGGTCTCCTCGTAACCTTCTCTGCTCCAATGAGAATAATCCCAGCCTCTCCAGCCTTTCCTCATAATCAAGGTCCCTCATTCCTGGTACCATCCTTGTAAATCTCCTCTGCACCCTTTCCAATGCCTTAATATCCTTCCTATAGTGTGGTGCCCAGAACTGGGCGCAGTATTCTAACTGAGGCCTAACCAGTGTTTTATACAGGTTAATCATAACCTCCTGACTCTTGTACTCTATGCCCCTATTTATAAAGCCTAGAATCCCATTTGCCCTTTTTACAGCCTTATCTACCTGTCCTGCCACCTTCAAGGATCCATTTACCTGCACCCCTAGGTCTCTCTGTTCTTTCACCCCCCCTTAAGATTGTATTACCAGCCTATATTGCCTCCCCTCATTCTTTCTACCAAAATGCATTACTTTGCATTTCTCTACATTGAAACTCATCTGCCACGTGTCTGCCCATTTTACCATTCTGTCTATGTCTTCCTGCAGTTGGCTCCTATCCTTCTCACTGTTTACCACCCTACCTAACTTTGTGTCGTCCGCAAACTTGGAAATGGTGCTTGCTATACCCAAGTCCAGATCATTTATGTATATTAAGAAGAGCAGTGGTCCTAATACTGATCCCTGGGGGATGCCACTGTACACTTCCCTCCAGTCAGAAAGGTAGCCGTTCACCACAACTCTCTGCTTTCTGTCTCCCAGCCAGTTCTGGATCCATGCTGCTACTCTCCCTTTTATACCATGGGTTCTATCTTTCTTACAAATCTTTCATGTGGCACTTTGTCAAATGCCTTTTGAAAGTCCATATAAACTACATCAACTGCACTACCTTTATCCACCCTCTCCATTACCTCATCGAAAAATTATATTAGATTTGTTAACTAGATTTGCGTTTAACAAATCCATGCTGGCTGTCCCTAATTAACCTGTATTCTTCTGAGTGAAGATTTATTCTGTCCCGGATTATAGTCTCAATCATCAGGGAATACCCACAATGTCACTCACTTGGAACATTTGGAGAGCTTGTTCTGGTGATTCCTTACAGTTTGATTCTTCCAATTGCAGCAACATAGCAACAGCTGCTATTCCATGTGGCATGCAGCTCTTCATATGTCATTCTTCCCCAACATACTGCATTGTCTTTTAATGCTACCCATCCCTGGTGCTTCCTTCTGTTTGCTGTTCATACAATGTAGGTAACTTGCTTGTATTCTCTGCAAGTCCAAAATGTAACATTATTAAAAAGAAACATCAACTGGTATTTTCTTGCCTCCTTCACATTCTTTTGGCCACTTCCTAAAGCTGCCTCTTTTACTCCCAATTGGCAAATATTCAATGCTCCCTTCCCACATAATGCCTTTACAGTTTGGGACTATATGACTAACATTAAGTTCTGTCTCACCAAGCCTATATTATCCTTGGCTCCATGGATTTAAATAAGACCTCCTGTCTCAATGATATTCCTCCTATTATCTTCAAGAAGAATATCAGGACTTGATGCTCACAGTCTAGGCAGAGTCACCCACTGCTCCCTTACTGGGAGAGTGCTGCATTTTTGGAGTCCTGTTTTTTGGGGACAGCCGGGTGTCTATGACACATGCGGAAATCCAGTATCCAAACCAAGCTGAGAATTCCATGCATTCCACCTACACATGGAAATCACAGAGATGAATTGCTGGAATCAAATCTGCACTCTTTCCATGGAGGGACACCTTACCTAATTCTGGAAAGTATTGGGCGCAGGTTGACAAGAGCCAACGCTTGGGGACCCCAGAGTGTGCATTGGGGTACTGCTGGAGTCTAACCAGCTAAAACTGCATAGCTTGCCATTGATATTGCTGTCCGGCAAGCTTTCCCACTGCTTGACAAGCTGCGACCACCCTACCCATTAGGGCTTTGGCTTGTAGGGTTAACAGGAGCTGAGTGACTCCCTGCCCCTGTGACTGGTCTGCACTTGTAGGTCCTGCCAATGAGCCAGGCAGGCTGTGCTGTCATCAGTGGTGCCCTGGAATACTGAGGACTTGCCTGGCTCAGGAACCGGACTACCAAGATTTGTGGGATTTTGCTATGTCCAAATTGACTGTTATGTTTGCCTACTAACACACAATCGCTACACTTCAGGACAATTACCTCGGAAGTGATTTAAGATGTTTTAACATTATACATGTTATATCAAATGCAAAGGTTTTAATACTGCTTCTGCAAACTTTCCTTTGTTCCTTCCAAACTTCACAGCACTTAAGCAGGCTGAAGTATTTGTTCGTTGAGTCATAATGACAGCAGTGTGCATTGGAGTATAGATGCTGCTAATGCTAATGTAGACGAATGAGCAAGTGCAAGCGATGTCAGTTTGAATGTTATAGTTATGGAACCCACAGATCTATGTATGTAAAATCTTGTCATTCATTGAGGCAATAAAATAAAATGACAATTTGTGCACTATATTTTTAGTTAATGGTATGTAAAATGTTACTGGAATCCTTAATTAAGAATATACTATTCATTTAATATTTAAATCTAATCTAAAATGTGAAATGGATTTGTTATAATAGTTAGTTCTCAAATCGTTTTAAATTTAGGTCCCTCCCTTTTCAGTATAGGAGTTTAAAAGATTTTTCATCAGTTGTATTTTGTGTGCTTATTAATTTAGCTTTTTGAACCAAATCTTGAAAGAAAATATTAAAAGTTTCAAGACACGCTAACTCACCATTTGGTTTCTTATTTACAGACACTGAAGGAATTACTGGAATATTTAAAAGAAGAACATCAGAATCAACCAACAGATACAGTGTAAGTAGACTAATCTACTGTTAGGATATGAATTAGGCTTTCATATACTATATCACTTTCAATTAACTGATTAATAAGTGACAGTATAGTAATTAACATTGTCATTGAATTATGACAAAAAGATAATTTACCCCAAATAAATTCCTTCAAAGTCATAATTTCAATATAGTACCATAATCTAATCATACTTTAATAATAATAATAATCCTTGCATTTGATATAGCGCTTTTCACGTCTTCTAGACGTCCCAAAGCGCTTCACAGAATATACTGTAAAGTGAATTGACTGTATATTTGTGGGTGAACGCGGCAGCCAATTGCGCACAGCAATGTCCCACAAACAGTCGTAGATTGAAAATGACCAATTTATTATTGCTTTTTGTTTTGGAGGGATTATTATTAGGTGTGTGGAGTAAGAAAACTTGCCCAAGGTTTCGCCCTGTCTGGAATTGAACTCCGGTCTCTCACTTGCAAAACTGAGCTACAGCACTCCACTACAGGACTCCACTTTAGTACCAATAACGGTTTATAAAATTGTGTTACTTAGTAATTATTTTTTATTTTTTTATAGAAAGAAAACTGCACAACATGGAGAGGTAAAACACTTTTCACATAATCGATGAACTTTTCAGAATTATTTTTGATATTATTTTGATACTTAAAGTCATACTTCTGGAAATCATAGTAATACATATCTGTTAACATGTATTGCTCAATAACAATACATGTCATTAAATACTCCCGTAACAGTAAACTCCCAGCTTACACGCAGTATCTCCAGGTATCCAGAATTTGTACCCCGCCCACCCCCCTACCAGTTTACACTGCTAACTGGCCTTCAACGGCCAGGGATACCGACTTTCACTCAGTTTGAATCCCATGAGTAGAAGAAAGTTTATTTACAATCACCAGTACCGGCATTTAATGACATTTTCAGCACCAAAAAAGGCCAGCGTCGAAAAACCCGGTGAATGTCAGCATTGTGACGACATCTCTCAAACCAGTGTAACATGTTGGTCAAAGTCTGGAACACTTTGGTGTCAGCATGGCTCAGTTGATAGCACTCATGCCTTTCACTCAAAAGGTTGTGAGGTAAAGCTCTTCTTCAGGTATTTTATCTCAAGTAGTCTAGACGGGCAGTACAGTCGTTTCAAAGTACTGAGTTTGAACCCACTAATCTCAAACTCAGACATGAGCCACTCAAAGTTGAATCACCAACCACTGACAGATTCTGTAAGGAAGCATAACTGGTTTGAGTCAGAAACCTCAAATCAATAGAACCCTATTATTAGAGGAAAACACTGCCTTCTCTGCTGGAGAGACGTGTTCATTGTTTTACCACTAAAAACAGAAAGACTCCTATAGATTTAGGTATTTTGATTAAAGCCTTTGAAGAAGTTGGTGCTCAAGAGACCACAGCTCCAGGGACCCTTCTTTAAAAAACTGTAGGATCCAAGTGTTAGAGCATCCTGTTCAATGACCCAGAATTTGTGGATGGTTTCTGTTCGCCTCCCTCAACATCTATTGGCTGTGATTAGCACAATAGCAAATTACCTAAACCTGGGGCAGTCCAGTCAAATGTGCAAGTATTATCTGTTGGAAATGGATTTCTTGAAAAGAAAAAAATGTTTGTTCCAGAGCTTTCCAACTCTTAAAGGAGAAACATTTCTGCTCTCCTTCTGTTTCCACTCATTCTCAAAAGAAAATAGAGGAGCCATACAGAGGAAGCAGTAGTCAATGTGCTGATCTACACATAGTTCCTTGATTGCAGTTCTCTCCACAATGATACTTTTCATACTGATAAACAGACCGGTGTCCTTTCCTGTCATTTCCACAGCAACATTAAGAATAAACTGAGTATTGTTGGCATACAAAAAGCCTTCCTTCAATCTTTGGCCCATATTTACACTTCAAACGTACAAAAGCAATCTGCTGATTCTGGAGCAGTCTCAGACCCCGACATTGTTCATGAAAAAATAACAGATTGTTATCAAGCAGTAGCTCTAAGCTTAATAATATATAGTATTTCCATTTGATATTGCAGTTCTTTATGCTAAAATGTCTGAAAATGCTTCACACAATTAGTTGCTTTGAATATTTGAAATTATAACGATTCAGCGGAATAATTGCTATCTTTAGAAATGTTTGTACTAGTAGGTCAGACTATAGAACATTTTAATAAAGTCACTTTGCTTATAAATCACAATTAAGATGTGTTTTTGTTTCTCTACAGGTTGTCTATCATGCTTTTCAATTACTAGCATTTGCAGTCCTGGCTATTCTCATCATGAGACTCAAACTTTTCTTGACACCTCATATGTGTGTCATGGCCTCTCTAATTTGTTCCAGACAGGTAAAATATATTTTATTGTTGGGATTAACATTACAACCTCTACTTTGTTATTTACTACTCCATCTCTTTATTTTTAAAAATGTAAACTAAAAACAACTTAAAGACACTCTAGCAATACTTAAGGCAAATTCGGGTGTTTTTAATTTATTTCAGTAAAAATATATTTAGTGGTCATTTCTGAACTGTTGCCTTATGATCTGGTCCCATCAATTCACAATCTGCAATTGCAAGCAACCATTCAGGAACATATTTTTTAGGCCATAGGTGTTTTGTAGTGCAGGTATCATGGCTGAAGACATGCTTTGTATGAGAAGCTTTAATGTTTAGTTTCCATACATTTACCAGATTAACTTCTCACAAGGTTTGTGAAATCATACACTTTTGTGATTACTTATGATTCGGCCGCTTGGGATGTCCTCCCAATGTGAAGCCATTATATACATGCAATTTGTTGTTGTTGAATGAGAACCATTTACATGCAATTGGGTCAATGGCACATCAAGTGTAAGCCATGTTTAATATATATGCACAAAGGGAATTGCATATTTTCTTGGGTTATCCAATTAACAATAAATGAAAAGGACACATTATTAATTGTAACTTTACTCATTTTTATTTTTAATCATAAGTTAAGGGTAATTCCTATAATTCCCTTTGTACACCTGTAATTGTAGAGTCCTGTAGCTCAGTGGTTAGAGACTCGCCTCACAAGCGAGAGACCTGGGTTCGATTCCTGGGCAGGGCGAAACCCTGGGCAATTTTCCTTACTCCAATATGCCTCTGTTTTCCAAGAAGTAAGTAGGAACCCGGTTGTTAGTAGATTGGTGGTTCGCTTTTCCGGGGTAATAATTCCTTCAAAAAAAATATTAATTTGGTCATTCAATCCATGCCTGTTTGAGGGACATTGCTGTGCATAATTGGCTGCTGCACTTTGCCCACAAAATTTAGTCAATTCAGTTTACAGTATAGTATGTTCTGCTAACCACTTTGAGGCGTCTCGAAGAAATGATAGGCACTATATCAAATGCAAGGATTATTATTATTACACGTGGTTTGTACATAATAGACCTGATTATTTCTATCCAGGATCCCTTTTTGAACCATTTTTCTTTGCTTTCTCTCATATTCCTTATGCTGTTCGGCAATGCAAGAGTAGATGTGCTGGAATGTGATGTCTTACATTTTCTTTTTTACCCCTGCTCTCCTTTTCTAAAGCTTTTTGGCTGGATTACAACGAAATGGCGTCACCAAATAATTGTGTGTGGAATACTAGCAGCAATGGCTATCCAGGGAACAATAAACCTGAGGGCTCAATGGAGCATCATGGGAGAGTTTAGTAATTTCCCCCAGGAAGAACTATTAGAGTGGATCAAAGAAAATACTAAACAGAGTAAGTTATAAAGTTGGCTTCTGATTTAAGACGTTTTAAAAATTATTTTGCTTTAAAATACCGTAGGCTAAGCTGAAAGTACGTTCAAAGTACATTTTCTCCAAAAGTGTCACGTGAGCATATTATTGAGTGGGGCTGGGATTACTTTGCTATTCTTCTCTCAGTCCCTGTTCCAGCCCAAATCTCCAGAAATTAACGCACTCCGCGACACTACCAGACACTATGCTATAAAAATGCATGTTGTTGTTGTATACATTTTAATCTCTTTCAAGTCCTGCCTGAAAACTTTTCTCTGCGACCGTGCTTACAGCCACCTCCCCCCTTCCCCTAGCTCGGAGTCAGGCTCCGCCACTTTTAAATGCTCTGAGACGCTACTCTGCGTGGAGGGTGCTATATAAGTGCAAGTTGTTGTGTTGTAATCATCTGTCGTGGAGCTAATTTATATGTCTAGCTGCAATACTTATTGACATTTCAATATTACAAATGGTATAAAAATGGTTAAGAATATTAGTGCTTGGGAATGGAATGTTTTTCTGTTTCAGGCATCCAGTGACCGTATCATTCTCTCCGAAGGCAGGTATAGGACAGTCAATTATAGAGCCCTTCTTGCTAGCCTCAACAATTGCCAGAGCCCAAAAAGCACCTTTCTATTTCTCATCTTTTGACCTCTCTGACTGAGGTTGCCACTTTGCACAAAATTGATAGCAACTGTGTGCTATGAACCTGCAAACTGCCCAAATGCAATTCAATTCAAACTTCTCAGAACCAGCAGAGAGAGATCTTTTGCCCAACATTTTGAATGGAATCAAAACCAAATCCTAGAAGTGAAAAGACAGCATCATAACCACAAATTTCATTTGTTTAGCGCTTTTTACCTCAGGAGGATGTCCCAAGGCGCTGTATGACCCACTATGCTAGTTACTCCCACTGCAGGCCTGAAAGTTTGATGATGGGAAATTTGGGGGGAAATTTGTGACATTTCATACCAGATTCAGTGTGATAATTATCAGCACAACTTCAGTGCTAATTATTGATAATTTTGGATTTCAACACCCCTGTGACTCCCAATTTGAAAGGTACTACATCAAATTCAATATTTATTATTATTATTAAAGAGGCCAGAGTAAGAATGGGATGTAGCGTTCAAATGCAGAGCTTAGAACACATGTATTAAGTATATGCATTAGAAGAATTAATGAAGTTGACGCGGAAAGTTGGAGAACAGAAGTATGTTGTAATCTACTTCATTCATAGACCCAAAGGTGTCTCCATTTCCAGTCTATTCGTGCAATTAAAACATGGTTCATCATAATACAAACACAATTTTAATGCATGTTTTGTCAAATGTGTGTCTGCTATCAAGAGAAAATCCTAGCCCGCTCAAGGGTTTAGTTACGTTTCACTTTATTTTGAAATTGAAGAGCACTAGCTTTTTAAATGTACAAAATGTACACATTAGTAAATCTAATACAATGACACACCAGATTACACATTGCTAACATTACAGATGCCGTGTTTGCCGGAGCAATGCCTACAATGGCAAGTGTTAAGTTGTCTACAGGACGGCCTGTTGTAAATCATCCACATTATGAAGATGCAGGGCTAAGGTTAGTTGTCACCAGTTTTTTTATCCCTCAGTTGTCATCAAAATAACATCAGGTTTGCAGCAAGACAGTAGAACAAGAGGACATCAAAAGATCGATTTGGATGAATAAAGCCCAGCCCATTCTACATCATTCCTCCAGAATACCCACCCTCCTGTCCCCAATCACATCACATCAACAACCTACTTTTTAAATGAGTCCAGTATCCTGGCCTCAACCACCCTTCCTGACCACCTGCTCCATCATTAATTACCCTCTGGGTAAAGAAAATTTTCAAGATATCGGTCCTGAAATTGCCCTTTACAATTCTAAATCTATGTCCTCTTGTTCCACTGTCATGGTGCATCCTAAAGTATTGATCCTGGTTTACTTTTTCAATCCCATTTAACATTTTATACATCTATGGGGTTCCCTCTAAGTCATCCATTTGTGACCATGGTTCTCTCTGTCTCTTAGTCCTTCTCGATCTCTCTGCCACCTTTGACACTGTAGACTACTCTCTTCTCCATCGCCTCTCTTCTCAGCTCCACTTTCATGGTTTGTCCTTGCCTGGTTTCACTCTTACATTTCCCATCGTTACCACTTTATATCTAGTAATGGCTTCTCCAGCCCTCGCATCATCACGTGTGACTTTCCCCAGAGCTCAGGGCTCTGTCCTTGGCCCTCTCTTTAATATTTACATTCTCTTGCTCAGTGATATCATTCACAGGCATGGGGTTAACTTCCACCTACCTGTATGTGGAGCTATCTTTCTCTCTCTCAACTCTTTCTCTCTCTCTGTGCCTGCACCCTCAACTCCAGAGCCACTGCTATCCTGACGGATTGTCTGTCAGACATCAAGTCCTAGATGAGAGCCAACTTTCTCCAGTTGAATGTCAACAAGATGGAGGCCCTCCTACTTGGCTCCCTTCAGCAGCGCCTTTTCACCTCGGGCGCTGACAGCAGCACTATTTCATGGATGCACACTCTACCTCACTGAACCAGTACGGAATCTTGGTGTCTTATTCGATGCTCGACTGTCCTTTAAACCCCACAAATCCCATATCTGTGCTACTCTGCAGCTCGTGTCCTATCCCGCACCAAATTCCATTAGCCAATTTCCCCATCCTCCCCTGCCTCCAGTGGCGCCCCAGCCTCCATAGGGTCAAGTTTAAGATCCTCGCTCTTTTAAAGCCATCCACGGTCTTGCTCCCTATGTCTGCGACCTACTAATGCCTTACCAACCTGCCTGCTCCCTCTGCGCAGTGGGCACTGGCCTGCTTCATGTCCCCCACAATCGGCGGTCAGGTCTCCAGCCTTTCTGTCCCCACCCTCTGGAACTCCATCCCAGAATCCCTTCGCCTTGCACCCTCTCCTCCTTCAAGATCTGTCTCATCCTCATTGCCCTCCTCTTAGGGCCTAGGCAGCCCTCTTATGTCACTGAGCAGAACTGTATGTAGTACTCTAGGTCCAGTCTGACCATAGCACAATACAACCTGATTGTGACATCTAGAAATCTAAAATCAACTGATTTAGCGCATAGCCCTGCATATCCTGACCCTTTTTTTGATATAGTGAGCAACGAGTCAGCTAACACCCCAAGATCTCTTACAGCTTCCCCCTTGGTAAGTTGTATCCTATCCATGGAGTTCTTGTGTTTCCTATTCTTGGATCCTATATGTAGTACCTTGCATTTATCAGTATTAAAATTAATTTACCATATATTAGCTTCTGTGCAAACCCAATCAAACTCTCTTTGTGGGATCTTTTGCTGCCTTCTCTGATTCCAATTCCCCTCAATTTGTTGTCATCAGCAAATTTTGCAATCTTTACACTGAGTCTGTGAATCCAGGTCATTTATATGAGGAACAGGAGAAGGACCAGGACAGACCCCTGAAGTATGCCATTTTATACCTCTCTATTTTGACCTAGCTCCCGAACAAAGACCTCTGCTTTCTTTCCTTGAGCCAATTCTTAATCCATGTCTTGTCCTTGATATCAAGTGACCACTGTTTGTAAAGGAGTCTTTCATGTAAGAGCATAAGAAGTAGGAGTAGGCCATTCGTCCCCTCAAGCCTGCTCCGCCAGTTAATAAGATCATGGCTGATCTTCTAACCTAATTCCATTTATCCTCCCTATTCCCATATCCCTTAATCACTTTAGTTTTTAAAAATCTATCAACCTCAGTCTTGAATATGTTCAAGGACTGAGCATCCACAGCCTTCTGGGGTAGAGAATTCCATAAATTCACTAGCCGCTAAAGGGCTGACCTTTAATCCTGAGACTGACCCCTAGTTTTAGATTCTCCAACCAGGAGAAACAGTCTCGCTCTATCTACCCTGTCAAGACCCTTAAGAATCTTATAGGTTTCTATAAGATAACCTCTAATTCTTGTATATTCTAGAGAATATAGGCCTAGTTTACTCAACCTCTCCTCGTAGGTCAACCCTTCATCCCAGGAACCAACCTAGTGAACCTACGTTACACCCCCTCTAAGGGGGTGTTACTTACTGGTCATGAATATAGTATTACAATTATAAATTATTGTTTTAAGTTAATTTGTAATTTATCTAATCCAGTTGCTGAGTTGTTATGTTTTAAATACCTCCTAGACCTTTTATTTTGTAGCTCGTGCATATAGGTATGTCTTCTACTACTGAATGCTGTACTGCCTGCCCAAACTAACATTGATTTCAGAAATGTAATGTGCCCATGGTTGAAAAGTGCCTTGACTTGTTCCAATGAATCACATGGTTTTGAGCTGAGAATTTATTTTCATCCAGTTATAGTCCCTCCATGCTGCAAGTTTCTTTGGCTTCAATATACTGTCATTACAGAAAACCATGATTACAGTTTACATTTAACTTTGCATTCATCTAGTTGATGATGTTTTGAGAATTACTTAAGTTTCAGATAAAGCAACACGACACAGATGAAATTGATCTTATTACTGCATCTCAAGAATTCATGGTTGCTCTTATCTTCTTTCCTACAACAAAATTGCACCATAAATGCAAAATGATACTGCGTATAACACATTAAGAACACTCAAAGAAAAGTTTGAAAACACTGGAAGCAATTTGATCTTTCAGCAGGGTTTTGGCTACTAATCATAAATAACAATTCTGGCCATCTTGTCCCTCCATAACCCTGGGCATTAAAGACAATTGTACAGAAATCTGGCTTTGACCTGCAATCCTCCAATGTGTTTGTCTCAGTACTGCAACTGAGTGGTGCCTTTATACAGAAGGACATAAGGTGAACCTAAAATATTTTAAGACAACGTTCATTTGCCATAATGCCACACGATGATGTAAAATCTTTTTGCTCTCACTTAGGGCCAGAACAAAGCAAGTGTATGCTATGTATAGTCGGAAAACAGCAGAAGACGTGAGGAATAGACTCGTCAGTTTGGGAGTGAACTACTTTATTTTAGAAGACTCTTGGTGTACAAGAAAAACAAAGTATGTTTGATTTAAACCTTGTGTTTGTGATATGATATCTTTGAGAAAAAAATATTTCTGTAGATATTTGATTCCTTTTTCTCTTTATCAAATAAGGCAAGAACTAAAACATTCTGTTATTTATTCAACTTACAGAGGAGAGCTGATTATCCAAACTAATAGGGAACAGCCACAACGCAGATAAGCAAACATTTTGGATATTTGGACATCATGCAAAATGCAAATTGGCTACAGTTCCAACTAAAATTTACATTAGGAGTTGTACCTGTCTGACACTGGAATACCACATTGTGCCAGCCCTTTTTTTCTCTTACTCACTCTGTCTCTTGCTGCCTCTCTCACTCTGCTTGACACTCACCCTGCCGTGCACAGTCTCTCACATCCTAGCCTTCCCTCTCTCTCATTCCCACCCTGCCCTGTTTCATCCTACTTTTCTTTCTCTCATGCTACCCGTCTACTAATCTGCCTTTCTTTCCCTTCCATTCAGTCTCTCTCTACATCTCTTTCACTCTCCCTTCACTGTTTAATAGTACTGTAAATATAAAAAAAATCTACTACAGCAAAAAAAAATGTTGAAGTTGTGTACATATGTACACAATGAAGTTGTGTACATATGTACACAATGACGTTGTGTACATATGCACAAAGTTACTAAGAGGTGCACTTCACATCCTTAGCAATGTTGCCACATGCACTTGACCAAATCTTTTTTTGCCAGTATTATAGAAGTGTCCAATTCCCATTGGTGTCCAATGCAGACAAACAGATTTAAGGATAATTGCTGTAGGCTGTACACTGTCCAACGCCTTGGGACGTCCTCTCGACATGAAAGGCACTTTACAACTGTATTCTTGTTGTTGTATGGTATATGCATTTGTCTGTTTCACACAACTAAGGAAAAATTTACATAGATTCTGTGAGCTTGATGTTTTTTCCCCAGCCCTTTTTGGATCATGTCCTAATCCCATAAGAAGCTTTTTTGGATAATATCCTTTACAGTAGAATTTCATCTTGTGTGTATCTTACCAGTCATAGCAACTCACTATAATAACTCACACAACTCACTAAGCTACAGGGCTCCTCACTCTACAGATTATAGTGAAAAACATTCCATACTTACAAATTGGAGAATTTTATTAAGCTAGACCAAAATATGCCCGTCTATTGAATGCCACTAAGTTTACAATGTCAGTAGGATTTGTTCTGTTGTCTGTTGCTGTTTGCTATTAAAACCCAATTCAACCCCAATAGTTTAACTTGTTGCTCCATTGTTTGAAAAACTTAAAAGTTGTGACCTTTGTTTTGGGGGGGATTGGTTCAGTCTAATGTGTACTCGGTTGCTTATAAATGTACACTATACTCTGCTACTAAATGTATTTTGACGAAAGGTGGGCTACTGTAAAATTATCTCCAACAGCATTTCTTTTCAAGTTTAATTGATTACATTGTTCCTTTATACAGACCTGGCTGCAGCATGCCGGAGATATGGGATGTGGAAGATCCCCAAAATGCCAACAGAATTCCCCTGTGCACGATTCTTTCTAAGGCACCTGGTCCTTTTTTCATTACTATGTTTCAGAATGACATTTATACAGTCTTGAAAGTGAAGAAAAATTTAAGGTGGCAATAGAAGCCCTTGGAAATTCAGATGAATTTATATCGCCAGCTGGTTGAACATTTCTGTGCCTATGTAATGTCCAGTATTGCTTGAAAGTGGCAACAGGAGTTGTAAATGAAGAGGCCTTGCATGAACAAAATATCAGAATATGATCTTCATAAGTGTTCCTTTATAAGCTGTATTTTCATGTTTTTTATGCAGTTATGCACATGTGATTATTTTGAATAAAAATTTTGTGAATAAAGTGGTGAAGCTTTGTCATTGTTCATCTTCACAAATGTCTTTCCAACCAAGCCAGATATAGATTGTCTCAAGTGGAAAATGGAAAAGACATTTTTTATAGTACGTTTTATGCCCAAGTAGATGAGTCTCCTATGAGACAGCCTGACAGAAGATTAGGTTAACTCAAACTTGATATTTTTGCTTTTTCCCTGTAGACAAGTTTCACACTCCATGATAGCACAGTTGAAACAAGGAAATTAGCTTGTGGAGCTCATCCCAGTATTTCAATAATGTAAACACAATGCACAGCAAATCACTGATGCAAAATGATAGATTATCCATACAAAGACCTGTTCACATCACCTGGATCCAATTAACTGATTATATCCTTCCCACTGTTCAGCCAGTTTTGCTTCCTATCGTCTATTTGTAATTTCCATTTGTTATAAGGAAATAATGTACACTTTGCCACATAGTTTTAATGGAAAACATGCTATAACTCTTCTGCAATAGAAAACTATTCAATTATCCATTTTCAACATTGGATGATTGATTTGGAGCTTACAATGGAGCACTGATTTGAAAGTTCACTGATCCATACAGATCATAGATCTTGCTCAATAAAGAATGAATGGCAACGGGAGACCTATATATAATACAAAATTACATTTGTAAAGCACCTTTCACATTGGGAGAACGTCCCAAGGCTCTGAACAGTCAGGGCTTAGGACCGGGGAGGGGGGGGGGGGGCAGGGAACAGAGGGTAGGAGGGTGGATGAAGGCACGTTCGAAGAGGAGATCTGGAGGAGTGCTTGAAGGAAGCAGAGAGTGAGGCGAAGGAAGTGTGGGATGAAGTTCCAGAGGGGGCAGGCCCGACCTCCGATGGTGGAGCGGGCTGGGTGGGGGCCATGCAGCAGGCCTGCTGAGCAGAGGGAGCGGACAGGTTGATAAGGGGTCAGCAGGTTGGAGATGTAGGAGGGGACAAGGCCATGGGCAAGAAGACTTTTCTATGAAATGCCACGTTCAATAAATATGTATTACATAATGTATGTCTGAAATTATATCTTGGAATAAAGAAAAAAAGACTGATAAACAGACAATAATGAGTCTAGGATTTAGGTCACTGTGGCATGCAGGCAACCAAATTTACTCTTAATGGAAAAATATGGAGACGAAACATGACCCATGTTTTTGAATTAAGGAACTGGACAGTGAATGTAGAAAAAGATAGGTCTTTAATCCTGACAAAACCTCATGTATTGCATTCGCCCACAAAACACTCAATTACTGCAATTTAATGTATTTGGGATGTCACAGAAATTCAAATGAGGTTTGACCAAAGTTGTACAGTTTGAGCATGATTTATGGGGATTTAAATTGAACCGATTTGGCAATATAGCCCAGTTTGCTTGTCCTGCTTGTTTATTGCTATGCACTCTATTTGGACACGGTGAAAAATGAGTCAGCTGAAAACCAAAGGTCCCTTTCAGCTTCCTCCTAAATTCAATCCCATTCATGGATTGGTGGCAGGTTCTCTTGATGTATTTTTGTTAAAATATTGTTAAACTTTGAAATTGCACTAAGAAGGAGTGTCCAGTAATTTTAATCCAAATGTACCACCTCAATGTGGGCTACATCAGAATTGTCTAAATTTGAAAATGGCAGTTGCAGACTTAAATAAAACCAATCCAAAGACAGGTAGAACGTGTACAATTACTACAATGTTTTTTCTTATAGGTCAAAAATGCACCATTGGTATGTTGATTAAAACAACTGAGTCCTGTAGCTCAGGGGTTAGAGCACTCGCCTCACAAGCGAGAGATCTGGGTTCGATTGCCGGCAGAGCAAAACCTTGGGTAAGTTTCCTTACTCCACACGCCGGATAATAATTTCTCAAGAAAAAAAACAATATTAAATTGGTCACTTCAATCCACCTGACCTGAATACTGGGCTGATGGATGTCAATTTATAGTCCTAGCTTCCCTGCTGAAAACAGGCAGTGCTGTGAAACTGTGTGGATGAACAAACTTGACGATTAGAATGACCTACTCCTGTTCTCATGTTCCTAATAGCAGAAATCCACCCCACCAGACAATCCCAGCAGAGAAATAAAAGTAATTGCATGAGAAAACAAAGCTTTTATCAAAATCAGAAACATCTCACATTCTTTAATGTTACCAATGGTCTTTGGAGTATTAGAACACATGTGAAACACTGCTGAAAAGGCCTGAAAAACATAATGGCATTAAGTGGCAAAACATCAGGCTCAGTGGTGAAGGGTGAAGGCATCTTTGGTTGCAGCAAGGAAGGGAAACTTCAGAACGATCCTTTCTCCACACATTCTGTGAACGCTGTTTTGCCCGGGAGATACGCATGGCCTTTGGATCATATTTGAACTGAAGGGCATTCAAGTTTGAAATGGTGGTCACACAATAAGTTTAACAAGATGACAAATTCACAGCACATTTATTTGTCCCTGTTTTCTATGCCAGAACATCACCTGCTGAAACGATAGGTGGACAGCAACAGAACATGTCCTGGAATTCAATATAACCACACTCTGTTCTAAATGCACCATATCTTCCTGCAGTTGCAAAGTTCTGCCCTACCCTCCCCCTCTCTACTGCCAAGGTTTTTGGACATCCCTGATGATTGTGGCAATGGCTCCTTATACACTATTTGCACTGCTAATCCTACAACAGAATAAGAATTGTCTGTCTTTGAAGTGTTCACGTGCACCCTGACTCAAAACAGCCACGAGGCACTAAACACTCATTTCAGAATCAGCTCCAAGGCAGATATTTGCCAACTTGTCCGATCATGCAGTCACAATGCCAAGTCCCTTGCCTTTTTAAACTTTCAGAAAGATTCTTTTCTCTCAAATGCTGCAGAAAAGCAAAATAAAGGATTTTGTTTGACTTATTTTAGTCCATTTTTCTTTATATTAATTTAAAGATTTAGTCTGTTTATACACTCAGCAAGTAGTTTACATATTTTCTCTACCAGTAAACTGGCAATTGCCTCATAATGAAAATATATATACAGTCCTCTTTTCCTTTGTAAACTTGACGTAGATATGGATACATACAAGTCCTTGAATGGAGGGTGATGCAAAGCTGTTTCCTAACCATCGATATTGGTCACAAGTTCTGGAGTCCTGAGTTATCGACGAGGACAAAGGGCAGGCTTTATACACCTTCCTTTGTGAAGAACCAAGCTGGCTGGGCAATGGCATCCTGCAACACATGGCTTACTGCAAGGACCAATATCATTCCAGTTCTCACAGGTCTTGGTGCAGCCGGGACCACAGGTATCATAGACAGCTCCATGTTTGCACTGAGTAGCTGAAAGTTTAATATGTAAAACAAAATCAGCATCAGCATGAATATAGGTTTCCTACAGTTACTTATAATGGAGTGAAAGTATATAAAAGACAACAGTGATTACTGCAGCACATATTGCTCTTTTCTTTTTCCTTTTACAATGAGATTTATCGTTTTCTTTAAGGTTACCTTAAGACAGGACTTATATATTATGCCTAAGATTTTCTTGATGGAGGTGGGGAGGGGAGTGGAAAATATTTTGATCAAAGATGTTAGTTCTCAGAGATAGTGTACTTTCCTATTCCAGGCATTCGTGTCAGCAATGGGTAATCCCCAGTGAGCATTCGGGCTGGAGTCAGCTGGAGCACAGTCAGAAGCAAAGGAGAGCTCCCACTTCACTGAATCAACAACATCCCGTAACCTTAGACTCAGTATGCAGCTCTGACTACACTAATATGATAAAGTTTTATTTTTTTCACCCAGTGATCTCTTTCAGTCAGAGAGGCCTGTAACTCAGTGGTTAGAGCACTCGCCTCATAAGCGAGAGACTTGGGTTCGATTCCCAGCAGGGCGAAATCTTGGGCAAGTTTCCTTATCCACCTGCCTGATAATGATCCCTCAAGAAAAAAAAGGAATACTAAATTAGTCACTTCAATCCATGACTGTTTGTGGGACACTCCTGCGTGCAATTGGCTGCTGGGTTTCACCCACAAAATATACAGTCAATTCACTTTATAGTATATTCTGTGAAGCGCTTTGAGACGTCTAGAAGACGTGAAAAGTACTATATCAAATGCAAGGATTTTCAAGGATAGAGTAAATACAGGGACAATTGTGCTGCAGTCTTATTTCCATGAAGATGTTGTTGTTGATCTAGTTTTAGACCTCAATCTTATTTCATATACGATGCTACCAGGTAGAGAAACATTCTTCCCATCTGTCTGGGCTGGATTCAATTCCTGCCCCCAGAGGAGAAACACTTTGTTCTCTGATCTCTTACCTTAAAGCATATTTGGGTAAAGTTAGCAGCATTTTGTAACAATTTCAACACAATCACATCAAACTCATTGTTCTTTTTCCTACACAGTGATCTCTTTCAGTCAGATTAGAAAAAACTCATTTGTTCTTGTTCCTTATCATTAGTCCTAGTAATCCTCCCAACCTTTAATTATCTACCTCTTCAACCACACCTGCCGTCTCCTCCCCCCTCCCACTCAGCGTTCAACCCCTTTTTGTGAAACGCTCTGAGACATTATGCTACGTGAAGGGTACTGTATAAATGAAAGTTGCCGTTAGTTGCAATAAGATTAGATGTTTCCTGCAATTTTATCAATATTTTTATGGTCATTCTAATGTGACTGCCAATTTAGGGTTAGTTTTCTGCTGGAAGTCCACACCTACTAGTGTCTGGGATTGGACCACACCCACATGTTGCATTGCACCAACCTTAAAGGCATTGGTTAGAGGAGGCATTCCTGCAATCAGGAGGATTTGAACTCTCAGTTCTGGAGCTCACTCAGTGTGCTAACCTGTTCCTCAGTCAATCCTTTAAATCTATCAGTTTTTTTTCTTTTTTGACACTAAAACAGATATTCAGGGACTAACTGACTACACCACCTCTTTTCTTCACCGGCTTGTTTACAGCACATAGAGATGGCAATAATAATAGTTCTATATGCACAAAAACAACATATTCTGAGAGAACAGCAGTGGCCACATTTACTCAGCTCCCTTTAAACCAATGCTGATATTATATTAATGATCTGGACTTGGGCATAGGGAGCACTATTTCCAAGTTTGCAGATGATACCAAGTTAGGTAGGGAAGTAAATAGTGAAGAAGATTGTGACGGACTGCAGGCAGACATACACAGAATGGTGGAATGGGCTGAAATGTGGCAGATGGATTTCAATGTAGATAAGTGTGAGGTGATACACTTAGGTAGGAAAAATGATAGGAGGCAGTATAGGCTTGGTAGCTCAATCTTAAGGGGGGTGAACATACAGAGAGATCTGGGCGTTCAAGTAAGCGATTCATTGAAGGTGGCAGAGCAGGTAGATAGGGCAGAAAAAAGGGCATTTGGTGTACTGAGCTTCATTAGTAGGGGCATAGAGTATAAGAGTAGGGAAGTTATGCTTAATCTGTACAAAACACTGAGGGGAGTTATTCCTCACTTTATTGGATTCCTCTGGATTTATTGGTCACACATTTCATGGAGTACTGCTGGAGTACTGCATCCAGTTCTGGGCACCTTACCTCAGGAAGGATATTAAGGCACTGGAAAGGGTGCAGAGGAGATTCATGAAAATGGTACCAGGAATGGGGAAGCTTAGCTATGAGGACAGGCTGGAAAAGTTAGGACTTTTCCCATTAGAGCAGAGAAGGTTACGCGGGGACCTGATAGAGGTCTTCAAGATCACGACAGGCTAGATAGGGAAAAGCTGTTTCCGCTGGTAGATGTGTCTGTGACTCATGGTCACAGTCTTAAGATTTCTACCAAAAGAAGCAGAGGGGAGGTTAGAAGAAATGTTTTCACTTAGCGAGTTGTTAGAATTTGGAATGATCTGCCCGAAAGGGCATTGAAATCCGATTCGATAGCAGCTTTTAAGAGAGAACTGGATAGGTATCTGGAGAAGACAGGTTTGCAGGGTTATGGGGAGAAAGCTGGTGAGTGGGGTTAATAAAAGTCAGTTGCTCTGTCAAAGAGCCGGCACAGACTCAATGGGCCGAATGGCCTCCTTCTGTGCGTAACATTCTATGATTCTATGATATGATATTCACTTACCAAAACAGTTCTGCTCTGGCTTCCAGCGGACTTGGATACCGTCTCTCTGGCAGGCTCGAGAATAAGCCATCAATGACTCACAGTAACAGTTCTTGTGTATGGGACACTCACACATATCCGTGACACAGGACCTGCAAGCAAAACAATTGCATTGAATAAAATTAGGTTTTATCTGTAACATTTACATACAACCACATTCATCAATCGTTTTCCCATCCACTCTCACTCTTAGTTCAATCAGGAAGGTAGGGTGGGAAGTGTGCAAACTTGTTATATAAAATCTGCCATTTAAAATAGCGCTTTATCACATCAAAACATCTCAACAGCGCTTAACCAGGTTTTTCCTGTAAAGTGCAGTGTAAACAAACACAGCAGTCAATTTGCATATAGAAAATTGATCTATTGATTCTTATTGATTTGGAAATAAACTGCAAAAACAATTTTACGTCTAACATATTCCTGGTCACTCAAGCCTGACTTTCAAAGTCTGAAATAACAAGCTATTGAGATGGGCACAAGCTGTTACCAGTGGCGTGCTTCCCTAATCGTGCCCCACATCAGGATTTGAATTCATAGTCCAAGCTGATACTCTAGTTCAATAAGAGGGAGCACTGCAATCTTGCAAGTCCTGTCCTCCAGATAAGATATTAATTAAACCAGTGACTCTTTGCCTTTTTTTCAGGTGGATGTTAAAAACATCACTGTTCAAAAATAGAGGGGAGTTATTCCTCACTTTATTGGATTCCTCTGGATTTATTGGTCACACATTTCATGGCTGTTTGTGGAACTTTGCTGTGTGCAAAATGGCAGCCATATTTGTTTATAAAATACACAGTCACTACGACAACAGTGAATACATTGAGATATTTACTTTACAGTAAATCCTGTGATGGGTACTTTTAGACATCCTCCTAACATGAAAGGCGCTATATCAAATGCAAGGATTATTATTAATATTATTATGTTCCACGTGCTATAAAAATGAAAGCTCTTTCTTGACAGAGCAGTAATTGGGCATGCAGCAAGCAATACTGAAAATCACTCTTGAGTTTTGTTTTTATAGAGTGAAGAAGGAAGCAAATTCATTAAGGTGACAAATCTTCGGGCTGAATATCTCCCCTCTTCCAATACCCTGTCCAATTATGGGTATCATCTATAACATATACAATGTCCCTGTTGTGCAAGGGGTATTTGCAGCGATTTCATTCCAGAGAGTGTAGGTTTGACAAGAAAATCTCAGGATTGGGAGAGAATGTGCCTCCAGCAAGACCACCTAAGTAGGTAACATGATGCTGCAGCAGGGCTGAGCTGCCTCACTGGAGTAACATTCTTGACGGCTCTGGACCAGATGAATCTACCGCACCCTCTAGTGGGCTTCCTTTATAATGTAAGAAACATTACAACCCCATTCTTTACACTCAATGCTGTGGTATCTAAAACATTGAAATGGTCCAAAGCACTTTCACAGGTAACTATTGTTAAGTGTAGTGACTGATTAATATAGGCAAATGCAGCAGCTAATTTGTACACAGTAAGCTCCAATAGTGAAGCAATGATCATTTTTCCTGGAAGATTTCTGGCTAGCACACTGGGAGAGAAATTCCCTTATCTTTCCTAATAGTGGAATAGGATCTTTAACATTTGCTGGAGGGAGCTAAGGAGAGGAGGGGAAAATTGGCTGAAAGCATGGTCAAAGAGAAAGGTCTTAAGGCAGCTAAGGAAGAGGCAAGGGACTGAGTTCCAGAGAGAAGGGCAGCTGCTGCTCCCAAACGTTTGTCCTGATCTCTGTTCTGGACAACATAGATTTATTCTAAAATGCCCTTTGTTTTAGATCCCTGGACCACCAGAAATAATGTCCACCCTGTCTTACCTCCCATCCTCTCCAATAGATTCCATGCCTGTTTGTGGGACATTTGTGGGAACAATCTGAGTCAAAGTCGATCCCTGGCCACTGTGGAGTCCAGCAAGCATGATGCAATTGCTCAGCATGGTGTTGGTGCACGCTAAGCTGTCTTTTTTCTCTTTTTTTTTTTTCTCTTTGACCGTGCCTTCAGCTCCCCTCTCGACTCTCTTCCTCCTCCTCGCTCCCTCCCTTCCCTCCCCTCACCCTGACCATTTCCCCCCTCCTCTCTCCCTCCCTTCCCTCCCCTCACCCTGACCATTTCCCCCCTGCTCGGGTCATGACCCAACTGTGCAGCGCCTTGGGACGTCCTCCTGACGTGAAAGGCGCTCTATAAATGGAATCTTGTTGTTGTTGTTGTTGTACATGCGTACAGTACAGTTCAAAGAATTGTTATTATTGTTTCAGACCAGGTTCATATTCGGAGTTCGGTAAGCCAGGGGGTGACTGAACTTTATGTCTGCATTTGTTGAGCCTCCAAACAATCCTATAAATAGCCCAAAGTAAATGGCATAGAATATGGTAATATGTTCTCAGGTAATCTGCATTAGAACAATAAACTATGAAGACATGAAATGCTACACGAATAGAACCTGCCACGATAGGCAAGGCAAAAAAAAAAAAATCCTTTCAACTACCATGTCACCACCTTCTGGAACCCCTTCCCTCCATGCCTCCATCTCTAACACGTCCTTAAATCCTACCTAACAACCTATCTCTTTGACCACATCTACAGTCACTTCTCCTTTGCTCGGCATCCACCTATTTTTGTGAAGCACTTCAAGACGCTACATTGGGCGCTAAACGCTCCAGGACGCTACCCTGTGTGAGGGGCGCTATATAAATGCAAGTTGATGTTGTTATTTTGGTTGTGGTTGTTCAACGTTGATCGTTTGTTGGTAAATAATAATCCAGTCTTTGCTGCAGCAACAACAACAACTTGCACGTATATCGCACCCTCCACCCAGGAAAACGTCTCAGAGGACTTAACAGTGGCGGAGCCTGACTCCGAGCTGGGGGGAGGTGGCCATAAGCACAGTCGAAAAAGAAGGCTTTCAGATGAGACTTGAAAAAGGGGAGAGACGGGGAAAGGCAGAGGGATTGAGGGAGAGTGTTCCAGAGTTTCAGGGCGTAATGGCTGAATGCGCGACCTCCATTGATGGCGAGGAGGTAGAAAGTAGGCATTTACAGTTTCACACAAAACAGGCTTACTTTGGCCCCACTTTTCAGGATTGAATTCACTCAAGAGATCAGATAAAGCAGCCTTAAACTTATTTGGATGCTTCAATCAATCCTTCTCAAGTAAGGACATATAAAGGTTCTAAACTTAATAAATGCTATCAACCAATGCTGAACTCTTTAGAAGGTGCTGTTTTAGTTTTATTTGATTGGGAAAGAAAAATAATTGCATTTTGACAGTGCTTTACAATACAATACAAATTAGAATTTTATATTTATATAGCGCCTTCCACATTGGGAGGACATCCCAAGGTGCTGGATAGTCTAAGGTTTGTACCTGAGCTGCAGATGGGGGCTGTGTGCTATGGGCATCTTTAACATTTACCTGAACAAACAGAGTGCCGCTAACTAAGCCAGGCCAACGCACAATAGTATTATGTGTAGCACAGGAGAAAATACAGAATTATTTCAAAACGTCTGAAGCTACTCACAGGTTAAAGTTTCCCATTATTCAGGACAATTGGTATTTAAACATAAGGATAATTGATCATCTCTCCACTGGTGTAAGACCTGTTGCTGGTGACACTTAAAGAGATGTAAAATCTCATTTGTTAAAAAGTTGGGGAAATCATGGAGTGTCCCATTCCAAGTGCACGTCCAACTCTCTCACAGAGAGGTGTTTCGAGCAGTCCACTGTGGATACTCCCAGCTACCTGGGAATGTTAAAATTACATCATAATCATAACCTTGCATTAGGTTTTTTTGGGGGTGTCTGACACACGCGGAAACCCATCACCATGCTTGAGAATATCCAAAGCAAACTGAGATTTCCGTGCATCCCACCTACGTAAGGAAATCCCAGAGATAGATTGTTGGAAAGGCATGTGCATGTTCTACCTGGAGGAACGCATCCTGCTTTCCTAATTCCAGAATATATTAGGCGCAGGTTGGCAAGAGCCAAGGCTTGAGGACCCCAGAATGTGCGTTGGGGTACTGCTGGAGTGCTCTATTGCATTTAATATAGAACACCTTATCACTGATTGAGTTGTCTTAAAGAGCTTCACAGTATTATTACAAGTGCAGTGACTATATTTGTAGGCTGATGAGGAAGCCAATTTGCACACAGCAATGTCCCATTATCAGCCATGAAGGGAACGACCAATTTTATCTGGGGGATTGTTGGCCAGGAAAGCAAAAGAAACTCCCATCTATTTTCTAGTCACAGGAGAAACTTTGGGACAAAATTATCTTAAACAATGGTGGCTTATTCGTGGCACACACCATTTAGTCCAGAGAATCACACAGGTCAAGAATCCCTGGTGTTTCCTTGATCTTAGCTGTGTCAGAGTGAGGGAAAACTCAGAGCAAGAGTAATCCTCAAGCGGCTCCCAAATACCTGGCAGCCAGTTCCAATGATATGGATCAAGCCCTGGAAGTAGACTTTGTGCTCCTGTGTGCAGGGAAGGGAGCGCATGGCTTGGGGAGGCCAGAATGGGGAGTGAAGTGGGGCGTATAGAAGGAATCGAACCTTCCAAACAGGCACATTTTTCCCAAGGGCATTTTGTGTCTGATCATTCTCCTTTAGAAGTTAAATAGATTGAGCAGATGGACCAAATAGTAGCAGACGGATTTATCACAGATAAACACAAGGTAATAAATGTAATGCTGGAAAAAAGAATAGGAAATATGTACAGGATGCAGAGATGACCATGAGCAGAGATGAAGAAGAAATAGGGTTCAGGTGTGAATCTTGATCATTCTCTTAAGGTTTCACTTGTGTAACTATTGCTGTCAGCCACTGTAACTCGGTCAGCTATCAGTCACTCTGTTTTTGCTCTAGGGAATGCCATTCCACAATCCCTCCACTTGCCCCTCATTTCCTGCTATCAAAACTCACTTCTAGACCTACCTACTTGATCGTGCTTTTGGCTTACTTTCTGCTTCCCGCCTATCAGCTCAGGCTTTTAAGTCAGCTGTGTGCAGTGCTTTGAAATATCCTCCTAACGTAAAATGTAAATTAGTGATGTGGATCGTGGTGAAATAAAGGGCTTT